CTTGCGCCGGTACCATTTTTCCCCTTTGTGTAACAATGAGAGTTATCCAGGAAAGCTCTTTTGTTAGTAGAAAACGGGAGTCGAAATCCTCTACGGGATTATCTTTCTTAGGAGGCCATCATATGATGGCCTACTCATAGCTTTTCATTTGCACCAGCAATCGTTCACGCCTATCCAATTAGTTGGGCCAAATATAGGGCTGGGTTATTAATGCGCTCTTTCGAAGGCCGTCGTAAAATGGATATGAGAAACAAAACTGAGCTGTGAGAAACGTTCCTAGAATACGACATGCATTCGAACCACATTTGGAATATTGGAAGGTATGTGTCATTGAACGCATTTGATCAGCTTCTTATGTGGTTTTGATGGCCCCATCGACCACTGTGGTTTTTCGAATCACCCGAGTGGAATGGGGATGGTTTTCCCATTGTCAGGGATCGGGGGAGGGGGGCATCTGACAGAACCGTTGCACCGCATCAAACTAAACCCAGTGCTGTGCTCTGTTGCTCACTTTCAAGTATCCAGGGAGCAGTTCCCTAATGCTGTGTTCGGAAGAATATATGTTGGGGTCTGGCTCAGTTTTTTTGTTATCTATCTTTGATTCTCCTCCCCCTTCCGGTGTATCACAAGTGACTTGTAGCCTTGCCCCTCCATCCATTCCAAAGAACTTAGTTCCAAGGTAGGCGCCTTCCCAAACCTACATTTACCCGGAATTCCCAACGTAATCCTTAACCTCTATATCAAAGAGCAAGTGTGGCAAGCTGCCGTTACGACTTCTTCACCCTGGAGATAGCCTCAAGCCTGCAACTAATGTGATTTCCTTCCATACGCGATGATTTTCGCGCCTCATCCCCGCCCATTCACATGCTTTTTACGTCCCCTGCTGCATTTTCAACGAACACCCACCTGTTCGGCGCCTCCCCCGCGAGTTCATCGAGATGAACCACCGAGACGTTCAAAGTGCTAGGAGGGTTTTTTTCTAACGACTTGGCTGTTTTCGTCCCATGCCTCGTCGCCTGCGCATCACATCTCGACTCTGTTATAGCACCACATAGGGAGAAAGGAGAGTGTTTTTCCGCAAATTGCCACCCTCTTACTTCGACTCCTCCCTCTTGACGCCATCCCACCTAACAAGGAAATAGTAGTTGGTCGTAGCGCCTTTCACAAAAAGGAGAGGATGAAATAGGAGGGATGGGTCACAATGAATGAAACATATGCCAACATGAGCAGAACGGAGCGCTCATCACGAACTTGTCTTCGGAATCAGCTGGTAACTTCAGTGAACAAGGGGCAAAAAAAACTCTTTAGCCTATGAGATTCGGTTTCCATGCGTACGTGATCATTGCACAGCCGCTGAAATGTGGCTAGATGGCGTATTTGTCGAGAATTGACCTCAGAGCCCGCGTGAATGCTCTGATCCCTGATGTCCAGGGTACTTCTATCTCTGTCGCATTTGTGGTAAAAATTTGGAAAAGCAATTGGATGACCCATCTGGCATTGTAACGTGTTTTTCGGCAAGTGGCAAGTAACAAAAACTGAAAATGAAAATTTCTTACTCTGCACTGTTATTCTGCACATTCGAAATTTACACGTGAGCTGTCGCCATCTCTGGCTGCTACGTGAGCTGCGAGTTCTCGTGGCAACCGCTCTGAGATTAACCATCTGAAACTCG